ATTGAGTCGTAGTTTAATGGGTCAAAATTTAATGGAATGCCCCTCAAAGTCTTGTGACTTTCTGTGGCTGGTCTTGTGCTCGCATTTTTAAACTGCAGCTCAACCGTTCCTTGCTGGCTCTGCAGATCATGCAGTAGCCCTTGTGCTAATCTAGATCACCTTATCCAGTTGCCGTCCTAAGCCCGTTTACTGCCTTCGATGCTAAAGAGACGTTGGGGTTTGTGGAAGACGAAAGAGAGTCTATGAATCACTTCACAAACACAGCTTTTTGCAATGAAAAACACCTGATAATATAACCAATGGAGTATATAATTAAAATAAAAGTCATAATTCGTTAATGTTATAGGTTTTCCAATAAATACTCCAGTCCCAAACTTGTCTAGATCCTTGAAACATAAATATCCCAGAATATACACCTCATTTCATATGTATCCCAGTCTTGCGATATATCCTGTGAAAATATTCGGTTGCCCTCATAAGCCATCAAAGCCGTATCGTTTTCGTTCAATTCATCCGCCTTGTAATCAATGACATGCCGTTCAAGTCAGAGTAGCAAACATGGCCCGCATGAGCTTAGGAGGAGGTCCTGTGCAGCCAAGTCAGCCACACGTTCTCAAAAGATGCGAGTAACATAAAAGGCGCACCTTTAACGGTACTTAGGTACGCTAATGGACATCCTACCTTTCTTGTCCTTCTCAATACGAGGAGGTTTGCGGTGTTCAACCACCTTCTCCAATCTCTCTTCTCGAATAACAAGCTGTCCGTCAGGCAAGCGCTCGGCGCGGACGATTTCGCCGCTGGTGGAACGACCTCGAGGACGGTGAGCCAGCTCACGCTCCAGAGCTTTGATCTCCTTTCGGATCTCGCGACCACTTCGGGATCGAGAGCGAGTTCGTACGACGAGTTCCTCGGCGGGGTGGTGGTGATGGTGGTATGAGTCCCAGCTGGAGGATGTGGTGGTTGTGGTGAATCGTGATGGCGAAACATCGCGGATGACAGTCTCCTCAGCGTATTCGAAGGGTCCTTGTGGCGGGGGAGGAGGGCCAGGTTGGTAGAAACCTGGAGGTGGTCCAGGCTGAGCCATAGGGGGAGGCATCATCTGGACAGGCGGAGGTGGCATTGGGGTTTGTTGAGGAGGAGGCATCATTTGAACGGGTGGAGGAGGACCTGGAGTTGCGACTGGAACCGCAGCGGGAGGTGCCTGGGCAGGAGGAGCTTGAACTGGGGGGGCGGGAGGCGGGGGAGTCTTGGCTGGCGGTGGTTCCGGAGTTGGCTCTCTGACCTTTTCCTTGGGTGGAGGTGCAGGCAAAGCAGCAGTAGGTGCCTTTGGTTCTCGAGAGGCGGCAATTTCAGCTTCAACTACGGAGTGTTAGTAGCGCATCAACTTTGCAGATTGCCAACTTACCCTTCTTGTAATCCTCACTGACTTTGAGAAGCTCGTCGATGTTATCTTGACCGAGAGCCTTTTGCACAATGATTGTGGTGCCCTAAACCTTGTTAGAGACTATGATTCACAATTCTCAGATTGGACACAAACCTCTTCAAAGAATGGGTATCCAAGATCAATGAGAGCTCGCTTAGAAACAAGCTTAGCAGGAATGCGAGTCTTGCCCTTCTTAGGATACTCGCTCTTCACTGTAGTGCCACCACTGCTGCTGGAGGAGCGGCTTGAAGAAGAAGAATACGAGCTACTTCGAACGGAGCGGGTTCGAGTTGACCGAGATTCTCGGCTACGTCCACGACGGTTGCGAGATCGAGTGTATTCTCGCTCACGAACACGCTCAGGCATGGATCTGAAATCATCGTCGCCATAATAGTCGGGCTCGGCAATCTTGATATCATCATAGAACTCATCGCCGTATCTGCGAGGTGGGGGTAGTCCTCGGCTCTTGGGAAGGGGGATAGGTGTGTAAGGAGGCGCACGGTAGTCATCTCGAGGATCTCGGTGATCTCGAGGACGGATATCCTCACGGCGAGCAGGAGGGGGATATTCCTCACGGTCCTGGAAGAAGCGTGGTCGGCGGTCAAAGGTGTCAAGAGATGATTGTCGGCGGAGGAAACCCGGTCGGCGAGGTGGAGATTCGCGGCGAGGCAAGTCTCGCTCTCGCTCTCTCTCTAGAACATCTGCACGACGAGCCCAGGGAGGTGGCATATCTCGCTCTCTTTCTCGCTGAGGCTGGTAGCGAGAATCATCGCCGTAGTAGCGACGGTCACGGATGTCTTCTTCTTCGTAGTAACCGCGGCCAGGTCGGCGGTCATATCGCTCATCTGAGTGGTCGCGGCCTCGTGTGCTGCGTGTGTAAGAGCGATCGTCATCGAAGCGATCTCTGTTTTGTTCGCCGCGCATTCGCTCAAAGCGATCGCGGTCCCAGCGCTCGGCCATTATAACTGTGTGTAGTGTAGTGTTGTGTGATTGTGGCTGCCTAAGCAGACCGGAACGTATAGAGGCTAGTCCTCTGGTGTTAGTGGTATAGCTGATCGCCTTTTAGCGAAAGGATATCAAGTGCAAGTTAAAGGTGCAAAAACGATGATGGAAGAAGGATGGAGGAGAGAAAGAGAAAGAGATGATGTATTGGAGGGTGGAGGGTGGGCGGGATACTTGATGAGTCGAGAGGGAGGGAAGAAGACCAAGGATTAGTGGTAGGAGTATTCAGCTGGGATTGGACGACCAAGATGGAGAGGATGCATGATGGAGGGTGAGAAGAGGCCGATGACGTTGACAGACTGATCCAAGACCCCGCTTGTCGAGACATTCCAGGGCCGAACTGTCCAAGTGGATCCCTCTACTCTCAGTGGCTTGTGACTCTGTCTAGCGACAGTTACAGGGGACTGAGCGGTACAATTGCATGAGGGGGAGCCCTGAACCTTTACATGTACTGTCCAGCTGATGACGACTTGTGATGAGACCGAGTTGAGCAGTGAGACAGCACAACACCTGATATACATCAGAGAACCATCAAGGGTCCTTGAAGACCTCGGAGAACCAATACACAAGATCGGAGGGAAACGTTACGTGCGTAAATGTACACAAACACAAGCTCACACAAAGAACCACCACTGTAACTTGACGCCCATTCGCTTCGATAGTGGTCTCGACGCCCAAGCACAAACCAAGTGGGCCGGCATAGCCAAAAGCCGGATTATGGCACATGAAATGCAGGGACTGGGATTAGTTGAGGCTGTGGGAAAAATTGTTAACAGTCAGATAATTCTCGATAACTGACCAAATCTGTAGAACCATATGTGATTTTCCACATAATGCAGGGGAATGTAAATGTTTACGAATGTCAAGTCTTGGTATATTGCTACCAAGGCAGATGATCATCCAACATGGGCCGATCCGAGGGTGCACTTCTAAAAATGGCATCTTGATCAGGTTAACATACCCTTCTCCATCTTGACGTTAACATAGACGAACAAGAAGCCTACAGGGACCAAAGTTTCTCAAGCCTGCAGGGTCTTCCCCTGAAGGGGAACTTAAACGATGGAGGGTGGAGAGCCTCAAAGGGCGGACTCTCGTTCTCATTCTCGTCTTTACCGAGACCAACGGCACAAGCCGTATTTTCTTTGATCATTCATGGTGGCCCAAAGCTCGCCGCTCAGGCTCTGCTGCGTTACATTTGGGTTTCTTGGCCCAGAACCTGAATAGCTCACGCTCACCAGCAGATGGAATTTCCAATGGGTAACTGCAGCATCGGGGTCTGTGCAACTTGCCCATCAGAATAGCAAATTCTTACCGAATGGTCCTTTGGGAAATAACAAACTTGTTGAGGGGACGTGTCAGCCTGGGTAGTCTAGGGGGGGGAATAAAAAACGACCCCTCGATGGATGGAACGCCAGCGAATTTTGGTGCATTTGGGGTCGTTTAATTTTTCTCCCTGAGGGTAGTCCCCTCAAGACTTATCCTGGACTGAAGCTGTCGTGCAACCAAGGACCTGAAGTCGCGGGGAGATTCTCCTGTACGATGACGTCGAGAAACCAAGACACAAACCCTGGCTCGACCCACACGAGCAACGCAATCTCCGAGCCAATCATGACTTCCCAACTCCAACCAAAGGTGTTGGGCATTGAAACTCGAGATCTCCAGAAGATCACCGAGACTCGGCAGGATCCGATTACATTGGGCAATTACTGCTTGGTACCTGATCAGCCTTCTAGACTTCCATGAGATCAGTTGTGATCTAGGCTTCCGCGGTAGTTGAATGAGATGGGACCGCCAGACTAAGGTAGGTACCTGACAACCTGCCGAAGCATTTTGCAAGTACGCTCACGTGACAAATCAAGCAAAGACGTCCACCAAGTTTGACGACGCTTCACTCACTTAAGTTTCCAACACAACTCCAGAATCATGGGTATCACACCGCTTGAGTTCCTATATATTTCCTCCTACCTCGATCACTACTTCATCACAATGTCTACGCTCAAACTGCGAGTGCGCTCTGTAACAGACTGGCAGGGGATATCTGACGACATCTCAGCAATTCATGAAGCTGCGAACATCGATGGCTCCATGTCCAACAATGAGAAGCGGCAAATAGCTAAAGATTTCACGGCCGGTGGGAGGGTCCTTCACCCTGCTTCTCTGGTGGCTATGGCTCTGCACCACAATCAATATGTACTGGTACCTCACGGGACCCGGTGACCGACGTGTGATGCTTGACGATTGGAGAACATAGGATCTAAGCATTGTCATGCTATCACGTTCTGGGGGAGGAACGAAGTACCAAAAGCACTTTGGTGTTTTCATCTAAGCTAACGTTCTGTACAAACAATCGCGGCCGTAATTTTGACTCTTTGACTCTCGGTTCGAAACCGTACTTGTGAGTAAGGTAGTTGTGGCCGAACCAAGTATAAGTCAACAGGTTGAACCTACGATCCAATTCCTCCTGATCTTGAGGTGACCGTTCTGTGTCGCTTTTATCCGCCTTTTCTGCCAATTCTGTTGCCCTTTCTAGAGCCTCACGGTCTCTCTGTTCTTCGCCCTTAATTCTTTCCAACTCTTATGCACATGATGCAGCATCGCCCTTAGCATCAGACAGCAGAGCCTCCTGCCGGCGACGGCGGGAGATGCGACCGTAGGTATCTTTCCGCCAGAGATCCCATACACTCAAAGTCCATCCAAGCCCATCCCTAACATTCGGTGACATTTCGGGAGGCTGCGATCCGTAAAAGCAATCTGCTTCATACACAGCAACGATCTCTTCCCGCGTCCAGCCCTTCTTGGGGAGGTTGATAGGGTCCCGGATGTTTTCTTTTTCTATATAGAACCGATCAGAATCCAAGTAGCGAAAGCTTTCCATAAGCTCGCGTTTCTCGCGGGCTTGCCTGTTGCCTAGCTCGTTTTCACGTCGCGACCTATCCCCGTCTATGATTTCCTCCCTAAGGAAGAACCTATCGAAGTGATACATCTCCTCAGTCCAGTCCCAGCGCCTTCGCATGTATTCTATTCGTTTTCATGGGTCTGCCGGGATAGGCCACGGTTCGCGAGGTGTCCGAGGTGTCCGAGGTGCTGAGGGTGGGGAAGGACTGCGCGGAAGGCATAGCTCATTGTTGGACATTCGAGCCCGGCCCACGATCTGTCGGGTTGAGTTCCATGCTGAAAATCACCCATTACCTTAGTGGGGGCCTATGGAGCGAGTGTCCCTCCTCACAAACGCTTCCAGCCTTCGTCTTTGAGATCGTCCCCGTGAGAGTATGGTCTGAAACACCGCCCTTCAGCCTGATGCTCCATCACCCTCAGAGCTTGCTGGCGCCCTATGTACACTGGTTCGCGGTTATCATGAGGATTCCTTTCCTCGAGCATAACCTTCCGCAATTGGTACCACTCTACGCCGAAGTGCTTTCTACCCCAAGCAGAATAGGTTTCAGGATCATAGGGTTCTGGCTCAGGCGTCCACGACATCCGTGCATCAAAATCATATGTATCAGGATCGTAAGTTCGTGGCACCAACATCTCTCTGCCCCTTACTAATGCAAAATATGTATCTCTCTCCTCGATTTGCGGATCGTCAGCCGGGTGGACATTTTCGTTGATGTTATTGCTATTAAGTAAAAGACACACATCATCAGATGCGGCCTCAGCGGATACGGGAAGTGTCGGCGTATTGTTGAGTCTGCGCTTGGGGCTTTTTTGCGGAGCCATCGAAATGCTAATAGATGCTAAAATAGCTGGCAAGGATTGAAGAATAGTGAAGGGTATGTTGCTGGCGTTAGGTTGAGGGAATGGTGAAGGGGGGAGGATGAAAGGTATCGGTAGACGACGAGTGAAGGGGGATGGATGGTGAAGGATGGAAAAAGGGATATCAATAGTCGGTAAGCTGGGGGGATAATAAAGGATGGAACAAAGGATGTTGCTGGCGATAGTTGGGGGGTGGGTGATAAAGGGCAGAGTAAAGGACGGTGGAGGATGGAACAAAGGATACCAGTAGGTTATCATCGAAGGCGAGGTGGTGAAAGATATGGAATAAAGGGAGTTTGTTAATAGGTCATAAGTTGAATGGGGATAGTGAAGGATGCGCAGCAAAGTATGTTTGCCTACCTCCCCAGGAAAGTTGTTTTCCAAGTGTATGCTGCGTATTCCTCTCTGTGGCTATAATCTACGTAGATCTTGACCGCCTGAGCTTCTCGTTTCAGCTTCATCTTCTCATCAATCAAGCATTTCGAAGATGGACACTGATCAGGCGGTTTTTTATCTCCTCTCGGAGAACCACTACGCTTTAGACATCATTTGACATCCTGAAAATAGCAACCGAGCATGCCAGGACCCTAGAGACCCAAAGAGTCTATGCCTGCGGATTGGATTGATCCAAGAGTCCAAGAGCCCACCGTATCTCGTCAGCTTCGGTAGAGGAGACCATAGCGATGTCAACGACGACGATGAATACGAAGGCGGGGATGGAGAGATAAAGGAAGAGAAGCTTGGCTTTCCCTTAATATCGGAGGGCCTTCGGCAATGTGTCGTGCTTCTCAACCCTGACTTGTACCACGATCCTTATCTAGTGGCTCTTCCAGATCCGCGACGTTAAGTTTCGATTGATACCAGGACCAACACAACTGATAAAGGAGAGGTTGGCGTTCGCACGAAACGCCAATAATGATGGAACACTTCAAAGGACTTTGCAGCAACGCGGCACGCTCGAACTGCAACCCAAGCGATCGCTAGCTCTTGAACCCCATAGTACCTGTTTCTGAACCTCGCCCAAGCAAGGAAAACCTCTTTGATGATAGTGCTGTCTGAGATTGCTGACTGGAAGCCACTTGAAAAACAAATTCTGGGCCACGCCGAGTTGCAGAGCAGAAACTTGAGAGAAAGCGACTGGTGACAAGTCCAAGTTGGAAGGGAGCCATGACCGCGGAGTTTTTCCAGTTCGGTTTCGGCTTTCTTGAGAAGGATCGCAGCACACTTGAGGAGTACAGCCATTGGAAGGTCAAGCGCTTCTATGATGGATTGTGGAAGCTCCTGGAGCCGTTGTGATACTCTGTGCAGGGGAATGAGCGTGCTATCGTCTCAGTGCAGTTGGCCTCAATAGTCACTGCCTGTTCGCTGTGTGTTTTATCTATGTCTTAATGAATTGAATCCACGTATCTTCGAGACTCTGGCACTTTCCGGCCCGCTCAGACGTTTGCAGACTTCTATGGCTGGTCTTTAGGCTGTCTGAGTACTTAATCTTTGTCTCTCAGCAAGGTTTCCTACCACAGCCGAGTTGGTGTCAGGTGTCAAAGAGGACATGCTTTACTTCTTTCTCAGCACAGATCACCCAGTGGTGACTTGTCAAGTGGCACACTTAAACAGTCTATAATCGTATCAGACTGTTTCTTGTCGCCTTAAAACTTATGTTATGACATATAGTGTTTAGTCCCCCAAGCGAGTATCATCAAACGGCCCTTTCTCATACAGGCATTTGCATTCAGCTTTAACTCGCGTAATTTAGTGGATTGCCTGTACAAAACCCGCCTTCAGAACGCCGTCCTTTGACATGTGCCCTACCTGATCCAAAATCCTTCAGACCCTCAGACAAACTCTTCCGTTGCACCTATGTACTACTTGTCCCATCGACCCTCTAACATCCTAGACTAACAGCGTTGGCGAATAAGGCATAAGTATCAGCGTGGTTGATGTTCTGCTCAGCAGTCAAGCTCTGGATGAAGTTATATCCGTAACCACCATAATCAGAGGTTCCCTTGATCTGGTTAAGATGGGTCATCTCGTGCAAGTTGGTGTTGCCCTGATCCTGAGCATGGCAAGTCGAAGTGGTGGCAGGAAGACGCTCAAAGTAGAGATCGCAATAGGCCATGTAGTTTCCGCCGGGAACAGTGTACGCAAGAACACCGTTCTGGCACGCGCCATAAACATCGGTACAGTAGTATCGAGTATCTCCGGCGTTGGTCGATCCACACTCAGCAGCGATCTTGGCAAAGACATCAGCGACAGTCGAGCGAGTCGCAGCATCAGAGTTCTTAAAGTACTCCTCCACCTTGGCAGCCGGGCCGTTGGAAGCAGCCTCCTGAGCAGCTGAAGCCTGTCTAGCACAGTTCGACAGAGCAGCTTGAGTAACCTGGAGCTTACTACCAGAGCAGTCACTCTGGACTTGAGCGCGCTTCTGGTGGAAAGCGGTGCGGACGGAGAAGGCCTGGGGACCGTCGACTTCGGCGTCGAGACGGTTGGAGTAGAAGGGGACTGAGCCGACCAACTCGGTGGAGTTCTCCTGGGCGAAGGAGAGGGCGCCGGATGAGAGGACGCTGAACTTGCCGCCGGCGGAAAGATCGTGGAACTCGGCGATGTCGAACTCGACTTCGTAGGAGTTTCCGGAGGGGATGCTCTGGAAGGCGGTATCATCCAGCTGGGTGGTGTCGAGAGCGATGCGAACACCGTCAAAGGGAACAGCCGTCTTCTCTGTTAGAGGTTAGTAAGTGAGTGGCTATGGGGGTAGTGACTGAGCGAGAATAGTATCGGGGATGTGTTAGAGAATGTTTCCCTACTATGCTGGCGAGCTTTGATATGGGTAGACACAACCCTCAACAACAAGCAGGCTACAGATCCAGATCTCTCGACATCTCACTCAGGCCTCATATCCAGGAATCTTACCAGCAGAAAAGACCTGAGCCCTCTCAACAGGAGCCGTATCAAGGAATGTTCCAACCTTGAGGAGCTTCAAGTTGCTCTTCCCATTATTGGTGATAACAGCCTTGACCTTTGAGTTCCCCTGCATCTTCAACTCGACATTCAAGGGAGTAGGGGCGCGCTTATCCACCAGGGGCGCAGCGACAGCCATGGAGGCGAGAGCAAGACCAGCAAGCAGTTTCATTTTGAACGATAGACCAGATCGAACGAATGCGATGTAAAAGAGTGAAGAGAATTAAAAAGAAACGAATGAATGAATGAATGAATGAAAGGAATGTCTGTTGTGAAGAGGATGAAGACATGCTGAGGGACTCGAGGTATCATGAATACTTATACGAAAGTCGAGTTGATACCCTGCGACTCGTCTGGACTTGGGAGCAGGGGACTTGCGACGATATTGATCCGTCTTGGTGTGGACCGATCCAGGGTTTCGTTTCGGACATGTCAATATGTTTGACACGCGCCATTTCCGCTCTCCAATCTTGGCGATTCTCGAATTAATTGTCCGAAAACTAAGTCCCAATGTCACCCACCTTCTACCATCGCCGAATGTTTATGCTATTTTCGCTGTTTGAGTTTATCTTCCGATTCACACAATTAACCTTAACTTTCGCAATTGATTCTGTCCGATGTAACAAAATCGAAGATCTCCCAAGATTAAAAAAGGATCAAGGCAAGGTCCGGGCGTCATGCCCTTTCGAAACACACCATGTAGCATCGTCAGCTAGGATGAGAATGCCCCACAACAGGATCGGTCAAGGCTATAAGAGATCGTCGTAAATCAAGGTTACGAGATTGGAAGGGTTGTTTGTGAATATATTAAAACAAGGTCGCTCCCCGTTTGACTTGAGACGCCTTTGGGCCGTTGAGGAAGGAGATTGTGGTTTGTTGTTTGACGGGCCGTTTCTATAGCGTTAAGAGTCGAGATTATTGGATAGAGGTATTGTTTACGGATTTGAGTAGAAGAGTTGGGCATAAATGTGTATCAGATTGCTGACGGCATGTGATTTCAAGATGGTAATAATTGTTTCGACAGACAGCTATGGTCAAACAACAACGACATAGCCGAATCAACTACATCGAAAGATCTTGGGTAAACTGATAATTTCGATGATCAATCTCAAGACGTCTTGGCTTTCCACTATCCTGCAGGTCTTCCAAGGTCTGAACCAGCCCCTCCACGCTACCACTTAAGCTTATACAGCAGCCTCCGATCATTTCCATTCTCATATCTGACAAGATTTGCAAGGATGATCGATTCATCTCCGGTCTAATAGACCCATGTTGCTCGAAATAACGTACAAAGATCGGCACGGGGCATTGACTTGGGAACTTTTGGAGTAGGTGCCAAATATAAGTCAAACAAGCTTGCTTGGACCAGTCTGAGAACATGACTTTCGCACTATTATTAAAGGTCTCTATTGGTGATGTGTTCTTGAATAGTCTGGAGGATGATGGACTTTTGCGTGTGAGACCTATTTGTTTGGCTTGCCGCGTTTGTCAAGACACCAAAATGCTAGGACTAGTTGAGGGCCTCAGTTTGTGGTATCAAGGCTGACGATAACGAGGTATGCGACAACTCGTTGGAAGAAAGAACCATGTTCATCTTAGACTATTTCAGAGATGCAGCATTGATTCATTGGAAAAGCTATCAAAACTGTCCCTTGTTTCCAGATGTTGGTCTGGTAGCATCTTGAAATGTGACCATGTACCCTAGACCAGTCAGTTCACAGCAGTAGTCGCAACGAATTACGCAACAGCCCAAGTATTGCCAAGTTCTAATGCATTTATGGCTGTTCAAGATGTACAGCACTTACATTATAACAACGATTACAGGTTCTAGTATGCATGTAAAATGCTTTTGCAGTAAGTGCCATGGTATAATATTCAGGTTAATCACCCTGTCCCTGGTAGTAAAGGGAGCACCACAGCGGGTTAGACAGGCATCTTAACGACCGTGAGCGATACCAATTGGCCTGCCAGTAAAAAGACATCATGAAAGATTGGCAAAAAGAATGATCACGCTGGGGATCGAACCCAGAATCTTCTGATTCGTAGTCAGACGCCTTGCCATTGGGCCACGCGACCGTTTCTTGTTGTTGAATTGACTCTCCAAAACGTCACTTACGGATTCTGTGCTCAAACTTTTTCGCTAGACCCGGAGGATTGCGGCACTCAATCAAACTCGGTACGCCGCCCACAACCCGCGCCAAGCGAACAAGGGCTAGCGACTGATGGAATCTGCTAAATAGCATTAAAGAGTAAAGTCTCCATAGCGGCGTTCAATAGCTCAGAGTAGACCCTGGACTAACTCCTAGCCACGCAGTGACGGATTCGTCGCGCCACCTTTATAAGGGAGGATAAGCGGCACAGCACAAAGAATGCAATGCAAATAAGTGCACGTGAGATACCGGCAGCCCCTGGATTCTGCGTTAGTTAGGGGAGCAGTCGCGTACCTTTTAGCTCATGCGTAAGGTTAAATATTATCTTAAGTTATTTTAATGGGACGCACTGTACTCAGCTCCTCTGCACGTTCATTTCATTCTCTTGGGGATCAAATCTTCATTCATCCTCACACTCACACGCACTTTCACATTCACTCTCCTTTATGCCATTATCTACGTGATACAGGGACTGAAACAATCCCTTGTTCCTTTGACGTCAACTCACTCATTTCATTTCTCTCATTGTTGCCTTGCGGGTTCCGTTCAAAAACCGAGCTCATGCCATGGCCATCTTCGCGTCTTCAGCTGTACGCCTACTCATCGGCCTCACAGTCGCACTCACCTTCATCGCCTTCTTCACACCAACAGGCTACGTACCAGACGTCGCATTATCATTCAGGATGCCAGCTGCACTAAAAAAGCTCGACGTCTCCATTTCCCAGGAGGAGAAGGATCCTGTTCTCATCCGCGCAACCGTCAGGAACAACAACGACGAGCCCGTCACTATCCTCAGCTACGGCTCACCCCTGGACCCCTTGGGCATTTCTCTTGGCATTCTCTACATCACGCCAAAGGGCGACAGCAAACCACTTGACATCATGCAGATTGAAGCATCACGACTCTGGCCGCCTGCTGATGATGCTCTAATTGAGATTCTCCCCGGCCGATCGGCCATTTGGGAATTCACCCTCCAGGAACCTGTCGTCCCGATGGACAAGGTGTTTGAGGGCGCGACGGTGCAGCTCAAGGGGACGTGGAATGCTGTGTGGACAAAGGAGAAGAAGAATGTTGACTACGCATCCTTCGAGGACGGCACACCAGCAAACGAGACTCTAACAGGGCCATTCAAGTCAAATGTTATCGACATTGAAGTCGTATAAACATGAATTGTATCATCATTGTTATTATTATTTGGCGTTTGGGAGGGGCAGGCATGATTAATTGGTTCACTTGTCTCTACGTTAGATGACTAGAGTGATTGATGGGTTAATTGGGAAGACAAGCAAGGGGCGAAAATATTTTTTATTAGAATACATATAATCCAATCCAACCCAACCCAACAGCCAAAGCAAACATTCTTTGTGTCTCCCTGAAATGCCTGCAGTCAGCCTTTCGACGCAAGCCACATTCATACCCTGCAACAGACCATTGACCAACCAAGCCCAGGCGTGGACAAGTGTCTTAGATTATATCCAGAGCTACACAACGCCGACTGTTGGGTCTAGTATTCAAACATCGTTAGCCTAGTCAATGATTGATAACGTTGGTATGGCTAGCTTAATGACCGGCGTTCCGGAAACCCCCTTTTCCAAATAAGGACCCTTTGCACTACCTTGAAGCTGAAGAAGCCATGACGAGCGTTGGTTCTGATGAAGAAATGCTGGTACTTGTGATTGTCATACGATGAACTGACAATGCATGCATGTGTAGATTGCCCTTGCCATCAACCAATCACGAGTGAATTATCGTTGACACATCAGGACTTAACCAGACCATGGCTGTTATATGAACCCGCTCAACGGCAACACATGCTTCATTTCTCCCGAAGCTGAAGTGCATCGCTTTTTGTTTCCATTAATTTTCCAAAATTGATATCTCTTAAGAAATGTGACAGAGGACACCCAGTTGCTAAAGACAGGCTTCGCAAGTATCCCCAGGCTGATGGGATGCTTTACTGGCTTGGCCCCATTACACTTCTTCACATTTGACCACTTCTTCACCAGCAATTGAGACGATGGCCAACGAAGCTGGCTGTTCTATGGGAACGAGGTTCCGATGCTATCAGACCCTTGCATCCCCACACTACAAGCTGCCGACGGATATCACCACCTTAGTTTCCTCTCCATGTTTCAGCAGTCACCCACATTCCTGTTCTCAGTATCAAGCGTAGTATAACCCAGTATTCAATTTTATTGAATCCCCAATCTACTTTTTAACTTTCTTCCCGGATATCAATCTACTCCCGAACAAACAGCCCAGCCATACCCATACCCGTACCAACACACATACTCACAACACCAACCTCACCACCATCCCTCTTAAGTCCATGCAAAAGCGTACTCGTCATTCTCGCTCCTGTAGCTCCAAGAGGATGTCCCAGCGCAATAGCTCCTCCGTCAGGGTTGACCTTCTCCTTCGCCCACGCATCCTCGAGTCCCAGCTCCCTCACACAGTGCAGCGCTTGACTCGCAAACGCCTCGTTGATCTCCCACCGTGACACATCCTCTGTCTTGAGACCGGCTTGGTCAAGGAGCTTGGGGATGGCGAGGGCAGGGCCGATACCCATCTCATCGGGATCGCAACCGACTGTCACGGCCGAGACGAATTTTCCGATGATGCGGTCTTGAAGACCGAGAGCGGTGGCTGTGCTTCGGCGCATAAGGAGAGTGGCGGCAGCACCGTCGGAGACTTGGCTCGAGTTTCCAGCTGTTGAAGCACCGTCGGGCTTGAAAGCAGGCTTGAGCTTAGCGAGTGCCTCAATGCTAACACCCTCACGAATACCATCATCAGCAGTGACAGTGATGCGCTTCTCCTCGCCAACCTTGTTACCCTGCTTATCAACCTCCTGGAATCTCGTCTCAACAGGCACAATCTCCTCCGCGAAACGGCCCTCCTTTCTCGCACGCGCAGCACGACGGTGCGACTCAACAGCCATAGCGTCCTGATCCGCTCTCGAAACACCATATCGCTCCGCAACGTTCTCTGACGTCAAACCCATAGGCATAATACAATCCTGCGCATGACGGTTGGGCGAGGTCTTCAGCTCCGGCCACACATCTACAGGAATAGCTCTGCTTCCGTAATTCCTCGTCATGCTCTCCATGCCAGCCGCGATGCCTGTGTCGATCATGCCCGTCTGGATCTGCGCCGACACAGCAGCGATGGCCTGCAGCGAACTAGAGCACGCGCGGTTCACGGTGTACAAGCTGGTGGTGTTCTTGAAGCCGACGTGGTTGAGAGCCATGCGCGCTGCCTTGGAGCCGCCGAGCTCGGAGAGCACCACGCCGACTGCTACATCGTCGACGGGGGCCTCGGGGTGTGCTTTGAGAGTGGCTTTGAGGACGCTGGCGAGGAGCTCCTCGGGATAAGCGTCCTTGAGCTGGCCCTTGTATGAGCGGCAGATGGGGGTGCGGACGGCGGAGAGGATTACGGTGTCGGAAGGGGATTTGGCGAGGACGCCTTGAAGGCCTTTGTGAATACGGGCCGACATTATGAAGGTATGAGAAGATATGGGAGATTATAGGGTTAGAGGGAGAGCCAATTGATGATATGAAGGAGAAAAGAAGAGATCAAAGGTTCATGATGAGAAGTGAGAGAAGTGTTTATGAGCCGGGTAAGTAAATATCCCATTACCCATTACCCTCCACCCCCGCCGAAAGCCGGAACACTCCCGTCCCGTTGCCATGAGCCGAAAGTGGACCCTCGACACCGGCTTCAGACTTCGGGTAATGTTTCGAGTGTGGCTTGACATGTCGGAGCGTCGGGTAACATCCCTACGTGTGGCGTCCATGGCTGTGCACCACTCATCATGAGACATTCACATTCTGATTGAGATTCAATATTGTTGAAACTTTAATATTCTTTGCATTGATACACAAAATCCCGCTGTGACATTCTACCATCTTTTGACCACGCCAACATATATATACATACAAACTCGCCAAATGCAATGCCTTCAACGCCCTTCCCCTGTGCCGATGCCGTCGTATAATCGTACCCCGAACTCCATTTGCAATCTGCTTCTGACCTGACATTTCACTGTCTATACTGAATCCCCAGTCCTAGCTTGTCTTGCCCATCTGCCACTGATTCGACCACTTTGGACTTCTTCGCTGGACTTGCTTGATCGAGCCGTATCTCCTCGGTAGATGAATGGTTGCCGCTGAATTTTCGCTTGTCGCCGTCTCCATTTCGATGGGAAAGGAATCTCTCCTGCATGCGAACAGTCTTCTCCATTGGTCCTGGTGTGTTTCTCAAGGTTTCAGCCACCTCAAAGCTCTGCCGCGGATCTCGCCGCAGCATCTCTGCTGCAGCTTGACTAGCCTGGCTATCAAACACCTCTCCGTCCTGGTCGCTCCGGTTCCGTGGCTGTGATGTGAACGATTGAGCTGCGGCAACCGACTCGAGCGCCTGCCTAGCTAGCTCCTCATTATCGTCTGCTGAAATAGTGCTCTCTCGACTCCTACGGCGGCGGTCAGTCTTGGCCACAGGTGTCGTAGGAATGAACTGTCTCTGGGAGTATCGATGAGGCTCCGAGTGAGGTACCAGATCCACCGATGGAAGAAGCCCAACGTTTGTACCCACCGGCCGGTTCATAGGCGTCGTGGGCAGAGACGACATGGATTGCGAGTTGCGGTGGTGTTTCCCGACGCGTGGTGCAGGGCGGTGAGAATGCATCGGTGTCGAAGGTGCGCTGTTGTTATCCTGGCTCATAGCCTGCAACAAAGCCGAGAGACCATGCTCGCCTTGGGATCTAGATGTCTGCTGTTGTTGAGAGTTTCTATGCCCTTGTGTCACAGCAGAGACTTTCTGTCTGGGTGTCAAAACTGCGTGAAATATACCCCCAGGTCTACAGAGCATCTGCATGTGCTCTCTGTTCTCGCGTATTCGTCTCAGCAACATATCTCGCTCTTCATGAAGAGCAATGCTTTCATCCTCGCTTTGCTTGATGACTTTCTTCGCCGTCTGGACTCGGCGTTGGAGGATCTCATTCTCTTGTAGCATGGCCTCATACCGCGTCTTCATCTGTAAGTACTTTGTTTGTAGTGCCTCGGACGGCTGGTCAAATTCCTTTCTAGCCATTCGAGTGAATTCTGCATTTCGCAACGCGTCCACCTCGCGACGCATCATCTCGTGTTCCACAGCAGCCCGCTTGGCATCGTCGTCGGCCTGGATAGACAACAAGTTATACTGTAACTTATGATGAGCTGTCTCCATCTTGAGCTTTTGCTGTTCTGCTAGAGCAGCTTGAAGCATGACGCGCAGCTCGTCAGCGGACGCTTCGAGGACCTGGTGTGGAGCGGGAGGGAGGAATTCTGTTGTTACAGGACGTTCGCGTACGTTGTTGGGCACGGTAGCTGGCGGGGAGAAGAGTGTCGACGACTGCTGGGAGCCAGAGAACTTTCGTTTGGAGGGACCGGGACCAGCTTGACTGGCATGGCTGTTGACCTGGGTCGAAGGGGGCGGTGTAAGTGACGATGGGATAACAGTGACGGCCGGCCGATCCTCGTTGATCTCGGTTCTGAAGGATTCGTTTGGATCGATGGGCGAATTTGGAATCTCTGTCGAAGGTAATGTCACTGCAGCTGGATCTTGAGGTCCTGCTTCCTGAGGTTGAGGTGTCGTGGGGTTCTGTCGCTCGCGAGGATGCCTAACAACGATCGTATCGCCCTGTAAGGTCTGCGAAGCCTGTGCGGCTTCCGTAGGAGAAGTCATGTTGAAGCAATCGTGTTCTGCTCTCAAACAATTCCCCAGGCAACCAAGTCGCGTCAACAGCTCTCGTCGTTCCGATCCGTCAGCTAAGGAAGTCGGATCTTCGACAGCGAGTGATATATATTGGTGGCGTCTTCAATGCGTACATGTGCTTTGCATGCGCGTGTGTTTATTATCCTTTCCAAATCAAACTTTATGCGTTGTCGTGCAGCGCAACGCAACGCACAACGCGCCGCGATATGGATCCACAGTAAACAGCGATTGTGACGAGGGAAAAACAATGGATCGTGGAACCTTCAGTGGAAGAGGAGCAATGGGGATATAAAAGCACAATATAAGTAGGAAACGGTAGACACAAGTTAGAAATGCTTCGGCTGGTGACGCCGTCGTTTTTGGTTGCTTCCAAGAAATGAGAAGCTAGCTTGGTTGAAGATGAAAGACCCGGGAA